ATTGACTATGTTTATTGGATCAGAGCAGCTGAGCGAGTGGAGAGCTGACAAATGGATGAAAGAAATACTCTGAACAACTGTAATTTTTTTTTGTTCCCATTCGTTTCCAGTCCAGAAATGCACATGAAACACACCAATATGATTTCCAGACTATTGAGCGCACACAACTAAGGCAAATTTACATCATTTTAAACCTCGGCAGTGCAAACACAGCTCACTGGATTTCCTGTTTCCACACTGTAGGGAACTCTCCAGATCTCTGGGCCAACAGAATGTTAATGGTGTTTAAATTCAGCACTCAGCAAACACATAAATGACTCAACCCAAGCAAGTAATTTGCTCCTGGAGATTGGCTTCACTGATACTACACTCGTGTACATTAAACGCAGACCAAGCAGAAAATAAGCAATAAATCTAATGTCTTTATGGACATTCTGGTTCATCTATGTTCCTGTGAGCTTCAGCTCTGTGGTCTGTGTCATCATGTGTGTGTATGTTTGTGTTTGGTGAGGAAAATGGCTTGTGTGGTCCCTGTAATCATATTTCAAAAGGGGAGCAGGGGGCCTTGAATCTTATCTTGCTCTGTAAAGTGTCTCAACTGCTAACACTGACTCTGGAAAGCTCTGACTGTGTGGTTCACTGCTGCCTCCCTGCTTATGTAGTGAAAGAAAGGCCTTTGTCACCTCTGACAGGTTGGTGATTCCCTGAACAGGAGCAAAAGGTGAGACCTGATTTGATATCACATTCATGGTAATTTTAAATGTTTGGATCAAGCAGTATGCAAACAGTGTCATCTTTTACTGTACATTATAAGAATTACCAATGCAGTTTAAATTAAGTCCTTAAAACTCTTGAGTCCTCTGCAGCCATCACCAATGTGTCCCTTAAAGTCTGATCATAGAATTAAAAATGGTGAAATTTTGCTGCACAATGCATTAATTGCAACTTAATTACAGTGATTAGCGGGTTAGCTTACGGCGAACTAAAGCCATGTCAAGTGAAATTCAGGTGAACTATAGCCCATATTATCCATACACCAGAATTTAACCAGTAGCAAGCCATGGTTACAGTGAGCCTGAGCATCCAAAAAGATAGATTTAGTTGTTTGTTTTTTACAATTTGATTTTTAAAATGTTTATAAATGCTGTCTTCCTCACACACTCAGGTGTAAACAGGTGTATGTGTGTATGGAGTGGGGGGGGTACTTAATCTCTTATGTAGTGTATTTTTTGGCCTAATAAAAGTAAAACTTAAACATCTTTGGTTTGAAAGTAGGGGATTCTATAAAATATCAGAGATACAGTATGCATTGCACTGTGTGTTTTAAACTGTATTGCCTTTCTGAAGCTCTGACTTGACATTTGACCTACAATGTACGTATGTTACTGTAAACATGATCCAGAGTGATCTTGCCCTGAGTGGGAATGTTCACATGTTGGGAATATTTGGGAAGTACAGTCTGTAAATTGCACTGGTTAATGTCGCCTGCAGCGATAAATACAGAATCTGGGTGAGCTGTCTGTAGTGCGTTGATAGTATCATAGAGTTTACTGAGAGCCGCAGAGGGATTAGTTCTTGGGCTAACATACACAGCAGCAAGAAACACAGCACTATGCTCTCTGGCTAGATAATAGGGCCGGCATTTCAGCAATAAAAACTCTACGTCTGGCAAACTGCTTATAAACAGTCCGTACATCTCCACACCACGAGTTATTGATAAACACACACCACCTCCCTTTACCATCCCTGAAGCAGCAGTGCGGTCTCCTCGATGTACAGAATGTGTTTGTAGCTGAATCGCTGAGTCTGGAACTCTGTCAGAAAGCCAGGTCTCGGTGAGAATTAGAACACAGCATTCTCTGATTTCCTGTTGTGCTGTAATCCTA